AGGCCTGAGAAACGGAAGACGGTGGAGGAGGAGGGTTATCGGCTGGCGGGTTGGTCATCTCTGCAGGAGAAGAGCCTTTCCTAAATGACCTCGATGAAAGATGGAAGACTGTTGGGATTGTCGACATCTTTCACACCTGCAGGCTTTTTTTGATGCCCCGTGAGAGAGTGTCTGAGGTAGGGCAAAGGATTGAAAAAATATGCCGCAGTATTCCGGGTAAAAGTCGCAGCGGGCCTTCTTTTTTTTTCCGTGACTAGAAACTTGATTACACTATTAGAACAACCATTGGGTGAATTAGCCACTCGGCCGAGAAATAATCCAGATGGTCAGGTCGGGTCCAGGTCAAGCTTGACTTTTGCGGCGGGGGACGGGGACGGGGGGACGGACCGGTTCCATCGCCGGCCGCCACATCGCTGCTTCAGTCTGCCCACACCCACCCTCTCAGACACAGTTCGTCTCGAGAGTCCCGGATATCCGGCTCGAACCGCACAGTCGCTGAACTACAGGCATTGAACACGCCAGTCCCGTCTCACGGCCTTCTAAGCAAGAAACAAAAGCCAGGTTTCGTTGCACGGGAAAAAGCACCCCCACCGGTTCGGGCCTCCGGCTGGGAATGAATCCTCGTTCCCCCCTCCGGCTCATCTCAAATGGCGAGCGAGCGAGGCGATCCGTCCCGCGAGACGAAACGCGGTTCATGGGCGCTGGCCTTTCGCATGGAACGGCTGATATGGGCAATTTATAGGAGAGCATGTATTCTAATGCGATGAAATGTTTCGTTGCGGTTCTGGGCTGTGACATCCGATTGTTCAGTAGTTCGCCCGGCCGGAACCCGAAGCACCCGAACGAAAGCCCGGTCCGTCGTCCGGTCCCCTTTCGATTCCCTAATGAAGCAGGTACCTTGGTATAGTTGACCCTTTTTGTGCTATGGCTTTAGCTCGCAGCAAGGTATCCATTTATTTTCATCTTTAAGCTTCAATAACGATTCGGGCTTGGGTGCTGGTTTGCTTCTCCTGCACCTGAGGATTGTGTAAATTGCGGCGGGCGGTGGTAGTGCTTCGCCGTCTAGCACAGCTCTGACGGATGGTCTGTCTGTCTGTCTAGTCGCATGTTCTAATTGGTCAATTGGTCCGCCTAGTTGGCACAGCTGTCAGCCTAGAAGTCTGCCACACACACGCCCTGGGGAAAAGTCTCCGGGGAGGGGGAGGGGAGGGAGGGATCATCATCAGCCCGTCTGCCTTGAACAATCCTTCCCCAGAGTCGATCGATCCCAAGAGGATGGGAACGGCCACCTTCGATCTGCAGGCTGTGTGTGCGTGTTACATCACTCTCCTCACGCCAGGCATCACTGGTTGAACCACCGATCCTGCCGACTGCTTTTGGAGTGCAAACGGAGTTGACCACTGGCTGTGCCGCTCTCCAAGTATTGGCAGGGAGCGGTGTCTTTTCCATCCATCTCACTCAGCCCGACGACGTCCGTCTGGTCTTACGCCCGGCTTTGCTGAGGTCGCTGCTGCTGTCTCTCGCCCTGCGGCGCGCGCGCGCCCTGCGGTGGAGTGTTGGCGCCGTCATGCTGCCCATCCCCCCCCTCAATTAATAAACACCAAGACATTGGGAGAATGGAAAGAGAGATGCAAGGACTCTTGGGTCTCAATGGGTCTGAATTCCCCAGTTTGCGTTCCTCGTCTGCTAGCCCATTGCCCCTAAGGCCTCCAATGTCTTGTCCTCCGATCCGTCACAGCCGGCCGAGACTTTTGGCGTTTGCGCTGCTGAGTCTGAGCGTCTCCGGCCCATTCTCCGTTCCTCCTCGCGCCGTCTGTGACGTCGTACTGCACTCTAGCTCGACCTCTGAATAAAATTACAGAAACCCGGGGAGGGAAGAGAATACGAGCTACGCAGAGGTAATGACAGCGACCCGCGGAAAAACATAAGGGGATCTACGTGACGGCTGTCGCTCGTATAAAACACGCACTTCAAAATTCCCTTTTGGTACGGCCGGCGCGCCAGGGGATGACCCGTCTCCAGCTAGAGGTAGGTAGGGGTGGGAACCCGACCCGGGAATTCGGAGGTGTCGTGACAGAAGCCCCGAGCGCCTCCCCAACACACGCGAGCGAGGTGAGCGAGCGCGCGTGGTTTGAGCTCCGTGGTTTACCATGTGGTTTACTCCTGCGAAAGTCCGAGGCCAAAGGTAGGGAGAACGCTGTGCAAGCACGTCAAATCGGGCTCGGTTGCGCGTGACTTTCTTATTCCGCGAGGGAGAGCGAGGCATCCGCCAAGCTGCTCACCACAAGATCAAGAACCGGGGCATTGATTACAGTACAACGCGCTGCTTTGTAAGTACCTATGTTCAGGCCCCGTCCCAGGGCGCCGTCACGTTAACCCAGGAAGCCCGTCCAAACGAAACAAACCCCCATTTGGCACCAAATAAGTAGCGGATCGTTCCCGAACGAACGACGGCGCCGAACCCCGTAAAAAACAACCCCGTTTAAAAAAAAAAAAAAAAAAAAAAAAAAAGGAACCTTGTGTAGCAGCTTGTTTAAATTACATCAAGCCCGGCAAACCCATCTTAACCCCCATCGGGACAAGGAATAGACTGGAGCATCGGGACAGAAGGGGATGAAGTTGGACCCAAGCTCTGCTGAACATTCGGGCAGGGGCAAGGGGCAGGGACTCGCAGGGCTGAGCCTCTTCTTCCCTCGGGGCGGTTCTTCTCTCTCGGGGATATGATTCCCGCTGCCTGCTTGAACCTCCGTGACCTGGGCAGACAATTCCCCTCGGAAGTGTCCAGCGTGAAAAGCACTCCAGCAAGAAACTCTCTCTCTTGAGAAGGATGTGAAGCCACCACCGTCAAGCCAAGCCGTTAACCCAGCTTCACCCAAACCCGGCCCAGAAGCCACAAGAAACCCCGTTCGTTCGTTCATGCAAAATAAGCCACTGACCGAACCCCCCAACGAACGATCAACAAGATCAGGTCCATTCGGGCATTCGCTTCTCTAATAATGGCTGCCTCCCTCCTACCTAACCCCCCGGTCCGCCCAAAAAATGCGCCCACCCCAAAGCTCCGGTGGTGGTCCCCTTGGCGCACGGAGCCGGCTCGCGCATCGATGGGGGCCCCCCTCCCCCTCTCATGTGTCTTTGCATTCCTTATTCTTGCCGTTCGTCTTACACAACGTAGGTAGACAGGTACATTGAACACCTCGCATTGTGAGAAACTCAATTCCAACGCAAAATCAGCGGAAGGGCACGAGAGAATCCGATGACAGCGCCGGTGTCACGCCTCTGAACACAAGAATCTGAGCTTGCAAAAGCCTACCTACCAAAAAGAGGCAATACTGTGTAGTCCAAACTCTCGGCTCATGCGAGAGACCTCGACACGGAGATCGGACCAGGCACCGCGTCCAAGCTTTGGGCTTTTGTACAACTCAGAATGTCCGGTGGTCACACACACACCTTTCTGGTGGTCGCATGCCCTTTTTCCCGTCATGTCTTTGGACGCCGCGCCCCCCACCCCCTCCCTAGGCCGCTACGCCCGGCTTATGCTGGGCCGCCGCTGGTAGGTACTTCTCCGGGCTTTTCAGAGGGAAGGGAGGGAGAGCGGGGTGGTCAAGTCTATAATATCGCGTCAGACCGCACCACCACACCTTCGCCCTGCTTTTCTCGTGTCTCGTTCTTTTCGTATGCTGGGGGTTTTGCATTAGATCATAGAGTCTAAGACTTCATCTAACACACCAAAGCTCCAGGCTCGACTAGCACAGTGCAGTGGGAAATCTGACTTGCTTACGACATAAGCTGTGTGTAATCTCACCAACGAACGAACTTCACAGCTTCACACGACCACGACGGCAAGCGGCAACATCACACGTACAAACACACGTACACGCGTAGACGCGAATTCACAGGGGAAAATCACACGACGGCATCACATCAACATCACTGAACCAACAAACAACGAAGTTTTCTCCAAACAGAACATCTGGTATCTTCAATTCGGGGAAAAAAGAAAAAAAAAAGTTTCCTCTTCCTCCCCCCACTCGGAAAATCTGATCAAAAAACTATATACATCTTTTTTGGGTTCTTTCACAGGAACACAAAAAAAAAAGTTATGGCTCGTCTGAGTGTCAAGGTCCTCACACAACTCCTGTCGGTCGCCGGATCAGCCGTCGGCAAAGCGACGCCGTCATCATCACTGACACCGATCACCACCGCCTGCGCGCGCGTCGAGGCACCCGCGTCCTTGACGTGGCTGCTGCAGGATCAGCCCTTTGAGCAGGAGGACCCGAGTTCGTTTTTTTACGTTAACCAGGATATTGACGCCACAGGTAAACCCCATCCCTCTGTGTGATGTTGGATTGGGTGTGCTTATCGAGACTAGGTAACAAAGCCAACCGCGTCGCGCAGCTCGTGACGTTTAGCTCGACGTCGTCGATCGCAGACGAAGATGCGGCACCGACGACAATGACCCCGTGCCAGCTGCTCTTCGCGATGCCCGAGGACTCGGAGAGCTGGGAGCTGATCCAGCGCGAGGGCGCCGCGGAGCTGCGCGTGTTCCGCGTCCCGGAGGCCGCCACCCTTGCCGACGTCGACAACGACGCCGTGCGCCAGAAGAGGAACCTCGTCGGCGCGGTCAAGGTCAAGCCCGGCACGCAGACGATCGACCTCGGCCGGTGCGACGGCGGCGGCGGCAGCTTCGTGTTCGAGCTGGCGGACGCGGGACGCAGCCGCGTCGCGTTCCGGCAGGCGTCGAAGCCCGGAGAGGGGTTTGGCGTGTTCATGGGCAGCGGGTGTGCCGCGCCGAAGAGGGAGGTTTCCGAGGATTTGTGAGCGTGTTTGGGAGGGCCGTTTGTTGACGGAGCCGAATGATTAAAAGAAGATTTTCTCGGGGGAGGAGGAAGGGGAGGGCGGGTTGTTTATTTGGTTTATCGTTTGTTGGGGCCGGGCTATTGGTGAAAACGTCCACCTGGGAACGGTTTCCACTGACGTACGACACTTCCCTCTCTTTCCCCTTAGAAGACCTGCGCGGTGTGCTGCTGCGCCATCCTCTGCGGCCTTTCCCGGCGGGAGTTGCTTCTGCGGATGGCCGGCGCCGGGCCGATCTCCATTACCAACGGCACCATGAGGAAGTTATCCAGCTCCCTGCTGGCGGTGGTGTGAGGACACCTGCGCTCGCCGACGGCGGCGCGATGGCTGTGGAAGGAGCACTGGCGGAAGCCGAACTGGCGCTCCTCGTTGCGGAGCTTGTTGGCCGGGATGCGGAGCTGCGGGTTCTTGATGCGCGTGTCGAGCTTGCTGGACTTCATCTTGCGGAGGTGGGAGGTGTAGTCGGCGGCGAAGTCGGGGAAGCGCTCGAACATGGCCTGGAAGCGGTCGAGGCCGCTGGCGTCGGCGTCGTTGTGGTATGAGGAGGAGGTGGCGCCGCCGGCGACGGACCAGGCGACCATGGCGACGGTCCACCTGCGCAGACGCATCGCGGCCGGCGAGTCGCAGTCGCCGTAGGCGTACTCGACGAAGCGCGGCGTGACGTCCCAGTCGCAGCGGAGGTAGATGTCCTGGAGGGCGTCGATGGCGAGGTCCTGGAGGTGGTGGAGGTCGAGGCGAGCGGCGAAGATGTGCAGGCGGACGAGGGCCCAGTGAAGACGCTGGCAGGGGACGCCGGGGGCGTCGCTGACGAGGATGATCATCTCGTCGAGGTGGCGGCGGAAGCCGTCACGCTGGTGAAGCCAGACGACGAAGAGGTCGAACATGGAGGCGGACTCGTTGGGGAGGCGGATGGTGGAGTTTTGCTGCGGGAGCCATATTTGGACGGGCTTGCCTGATGTGTTGACGATGCCGGCCGGCGTGGCGTCGAGTTGGTCCTCGAAGAAGGGGGCGACGTTGCTGAGCATCCTCTTGTTTACACGGAACTCCTTCATCTTCTCGCCTCTACCGACGAATACGCGGGCCACGTTCTCATCCTCGCTTGATCTGAGAACGAGTTTGTTAGCCGTGTGTGTTGAGTTGGCAGACCAGGGGTAGACGACTTACACATTGCCCATTGAAGGGTTGGAAAAGATAGCCTTTGGTCTCGACATAGGGGCCATTGTGATGATTTATGGTAGTGCTCAGCACCAGATATTCGAGCTCAGCTCTGTAATAAGAAAGTAGAACAGACACACAAGAATAAAGATACCAAACCAAGGAAAAGGAACCAGTTGAAGGCCGTGAAGACGTGATGCGTTGCAATGACTCTCCCAGAGAGCTTGAGAAGAGGAAAGAGAGCAGATCACACACGAACTCCTGACCCAGAACCGAGGAAAGCTCTCCCGTTATGAATTGCTTCAAGTGTCCCCGATGCAACTCCAGCCAGGGCAGAGCAACAGCATCGAGCATGGGAGAGCATGGGAGAGCATGGGAGGAGCATGGGAGGAGCATGGGGCCGGCTTGGGACAAGCATAGGACACGGCATGGGATGGAACGGCGTGGTGGAGAGCATGGGATGGCGGCATGGCGCACGCAAACTCCGCTAACACAGTCTAGCACGAAACCCCCTTTGTCGTCTGCCAAGCGCAGTGTGCGAATAAGCTTATACGTGATAATCGACGTTAAGTCGGTTTCAGAAAGGAGGGACAGCCGTGGCTGGCTCCGGTGCTTACTGCTGGCATCTGGGGCTCGTGCCGGGGTCCGCCCGGGCGGCTTCCTGGCAGCTCGCCTTAAGAGAAGGCTGATATGGGACAGCGGTTCACGAAAAAGACGAGATGTCGTTGCTTGGGGCGGGCAGGGGTCGCGGTTTCAAACGTCATTGTCAAACACGCTGTGTGCAGTGGTGTGGGAGTCGTGCCGCGCGAAGTGTACCCTCGACATGGCTCGACTGCTTCAGGTGACAGGGTTGCGGGCTGTGAGCCAGTGGTCTTTTCGCGGGCAGACGGCTGTAGCGGAAGCTTGGGGCAGCCTTAGCTGTGGCTGATATAGGACCGGGGTGCGGTGCTTGGGCTTGGGTGCATTTCTTGACGTTCCCGCAAGCCCTTGTCAAGAACCGTCTCGTCTGTGCAGACGATCTCTTATCAGACCGGTCCAAGGGGATTGGAGTTGCATCCAGACACTCTTCTGTGAGGATGCCGTAGCACACGCGTGGGTTCGGTGGTAGCGTACCAGCTTGGCTGTCAATCTCACCCACAGACGGCACAGAGATGGTATCACGGATCCTATTTTTGGTGGCGTTTTTTTTTATAAACTCATGGCTTGAAATGTTTTGGACGAGCAAGCCAGACGAAGAGTTGAGGCGTCTTGTGTCGTTGTTTCCTTGTCAGTTGTGGCCAATAAACAAGCTAAGCAGGTTGTGAGAAGGATTGTGTTAGCTCCCACAACCCCGGCTATAACGGAAAGAAACTCGTTGAAGACAGCTCCGCTTGCGCGCGCGCGAGGGCATCGTGGCTGGCCTCAGTCGCCTGCATCACGAATCACGGCCGCCTGGGCCTCGAGTTGGTCTTTTGCAGCGCTCAGGTGTCATTGAAAAAAAGGAGGCATCTCAATGCGCATGACCATGACCATGACCATTAACCGGTAGATGTGCAATGATCGTAGCCAGCATCGAGGATCCGTTCGTTCTCGATCTTTTCGACTGCGCCCGCGCTGCATTGTCCTCCTTGCGGCCGTCCAATGTTGCTTGGATCGTCGAGGCAGTGCTACTCAAGGTCGCGGGATTTTCGTGCATCTTGACGCAGGTCAGCCGAAGAACGGATGCTAAGGCCCAGGCACCTATATCGCATCCATGGGACGTTTGGTTTCAGTCGTGGAGTTGGGGTTCGCTGGAAAAGTCGAAGGCCCGTATTCACGAGCTCGTCTAAGAGAGGTTTGAAACCGGGCGTCGAACAGCGGAGTTGAGGCGAGCATGGCCGCGAGGAGTGGTAAAGTGCCACACTGCATCTGCAAAGGGGGAGCCACTGAGCCAGGAGGCTAGCGCACAGGGCGATTGTCGGGCCGGGCGGCAGAATGCAGAGGCGGTGCCCATTGACAAGCCCAGTCAAGGGAGACCTGCAATATCGGGGGCAGCTGGCTCCGATGTGCCTGCATGGAGATGTGGAGTTGAGGGGTGTTTGAGTGGGAGGGACTCGGAAGTCTTGAGATTCAAGATTGCAAGATTGAGAACCCCCCGACCCGACAGCGACCCCGACACCCGTGTCCGACCCCCGACCCGTAACCGTACCTGGTAACAAGAGGAAGAACCGGGAGCAAGGGTCTACCGCAGTAGTCTGTTTTGCGCGGATTTTTTTTTTTTTCTTGTCGTCGTCTCTTTCACTCTCTCCTGTAGACAGGGTCCACGGAGTCTCCCAGGCGAGGCGAAAAGACTCCGGTCCTCTGCCGCCGCCCCGTCGTCAATCGTCGAGTCGGCGGGTTCTTGTCTGGGTCGTGTCTGGGTCAAGATTGGGTCCCTGGGTCTTTAGGTCGATCACGCCATTGCGGATTGCCCCAGAAACAACAAGTGTCGAGGCCACGGCCATCGCAGGCGATTGTTTGCCCGAGATGTTTTGACAGCGACAGACCAGACGAGGGGCATCGACGATCTTCAGAAGATGGCGGTTGACGTCGGGAGCTCCCACGACGATCAAGCAGCGGGCGAGACTGGATTAGATCATTTTAGTGTACCAACAGGCGCCGTTGAGCGGTGACGAGTGGCGGATCGACTGCAATTGGACTGGACACCGTTTGCAAGAGAGAGAAAAAAGAAAAGTTTGGGTGAGAGCTAGGCCGTCTTCGAGACACCCACCACGACGTCAACGTCGGCTCGATTGAACGGTGAAGAATTCATCCAATCGAGAGAAAAAGCGCGCGTGAGGGTAACACATGGCTGTCCGAGTTGAGGGGGAGGCCGAGGAATTCGTCGTGATGCATCACCACCTCAACACTTGGATAGCTCGGGGAGGACCCTGGAGATGTCTCTTTGCTTGGATTGCAGCTTGGTGAGGTGAGCTTCGCTGGGCCACATGTGCTTCACAGCAGTGGTAGTGGCCAATGGGAGGCAGGGACACGCAGCTGCCCGCGCTTGCCCACAAAAAAATGGCTTTAAGCTCGTGGGATCCTGAAGTGTGAGGCAAGAAGGTGGCCGTTGGCTATCTCTGGCTCCGATAAGGCAAAATCTGAATCCCACCATTGCCCACACCGCCCTTCCATTTCGAGGTAGGTCCCTTGCGTTCCTGCCGCCCTGTGGCGGGTTGGGCCAATCAGCGATCGCCTGCCCCTCCATACCTGAGGTACCCTCCCTTCTCGCCTCAGGCCTGCGGCCATGTGTCTGCGTGTCTTATGCTGCATTGTCGCCGGTACGAACCTTAGCTGGCCTGACCTTGGCCTCTCATGCAGTTGTCTGACTCTCTGTGCCTTTTTTTGCCACAATCCTCGGTTTGGAGCACAGACAGTCAGAAGCGCAGAGCATGGAACACCGGGGAAAGGCAGGAAACGATGGGAAAAGCCAATGGATGGAGCAAGAAAAGCTACACCTGGAGATAGGTGCCTTAGCTGTAGGTGAGGTAAGGTAGGGACAAGCTTGAGCAGGTACAGAGGGGCACTAACAGAAAACAATGGGTGGCTTGCGGCCTCCCGCCGGAGCTCCTTCGCAGCTTGCGATAGTGCTTTGTACCCCGCCATCTTAAGGTGCCTCGCCAACAGTGGAGACCTCGAGCAAGATTCCCCCAATTGAGTCCCCCGCCAGCCGCCACGCTGCATTCTCACGAAGTGTCAGAGGCCACTTTCTCAAGAGCAATCTGCGACAACCCCTCCTTCCCTTTCCAAAGTACCCCACCTCAACGCTACTGGAAGGCCTTCTCACCTCATTTTTTTTTTTTCTCCCGGCGGTTTGGCTGGCTGGCAGAATCCAAAAGAGGCGATCAATAAAAATTAAAAAAAATAACGAAAACTCCGGGGCCTCCACCAAAGTACCAATTCCTCGTACCATTGACTATCCATACCTACCCAACGGTGAGAAGGAGGGGAAAAACACAAAAAAGTGACATTGAGGCTGCAAGCCGACTTCGCTCTCCAGTCAACTGCCCGGGGACCCAGCCCAGCCTCTCTGCCCCTCGCACGCAATTGCCCAATTCACCGACTCGCGGGCCGCTAGAGTTTTTTCACACGTCCACCACCTCGACCTTTGGAAGACTACTTCATCTGCCCCTCCTCCTCTTCCGTCCCCTTTCTCTCCCTCTCCTTCTTCCCCCAACCGCCTGACTCCCAATTCTTCTCCCTTACCTTGCTTCTTGTCGGCGGGGTAATTTCACAGCACATCATTTTATCACACTTGAGTCTTTTGCGTCGATCAGCAACAGCATTCAAGATGGTTCAGTCCTCGGTTCTGGGTTTCCCCCGCATGGGTGTGAACCGTGACCTCAAGAAGGCCAACGAGGCTTACTGGGCTGGCAAGCTCTCTCGCGATGAGCTCCTCGCTGAGGGTAAGAGACTGCGTCTCGCCCACTGGAAGATCCAGAAGGATGCCGGTGTCGACATCATCCCCTCCAACGACTTTGCCTTCTACGACCAGGTCCTTGACCACATCCAGCTCTTCAACGTAAGTGACTCACCCCGAAATCTCACTAAGCTCATCACAAAGCTGACAACCTGCCTCAGGCCATTCCTCCCCGTTACGCCGAGACCAAGCTTGAGCCCATTGACGAGTACTTCGCCATGGGCCGTGGCCACCAGAAGGACGGCATCGACGTCCCCTCTCTGGTAAGCCCCGCCCCCGCCCCCGCTCATGCACGGGCGATAAAAAAATCCTATAACGTAAAACAAATACTGATGGATCCGTCAACAGGAAATGGTCAAGTGGTTCGACTCCAACTACCACTACGTCAAGCCTACCCTTCAGGATGGCCAGACCTTCAAGCTCGCTGCCAACCCCAAGCCCGTTGTTGAGTTCAACGAGGCCAAGGAGGCCGGCATCATCACCCGCCCCGTCCTCGTCGGCCCCGTCTCTTTCCTCCACCTCGGAAAGCCGGACCGTGGCCAGTCCGTTGACCCCATCTCTCTGCTGGACAAGCTCGTCCCCGTCTACGTTGAGCTCCTGAAGCAGCTCAAGGCCGCTGGTGCCGAGACTGTCCAGATTGACGAGCCC